GTACACAAATCCTCAGCCATGGCTTAACAAGTGTCCCATATAGTTCCAACATTACATCCTTGCTTTTGCATTCAATACTTTGTCCAATGAAGGAAAGCATCCCATTTGCCTCCTTTAACAACCTTATCTACCCATTCTGCTACCTTCAGACACCGGTGGACATTCACTCCATGGATTCCCACCTCCTCTAACCCTCTTAATATCCTCCCGTTTACTGCGTATTCCTTTGCTTTGTTTACTTTTCCCCGTATGCATAAACCTTGCACTTCTCCAGACTGAAATGCATTTGCCACTGTTCCACTCACTCAACCAAACCTTTGTTACCATTGTATTTGATACTGTCATCCTCTTCACTATCAACTAACCAACCAATTTTGTGTCATTTGCGGATTTAGGACTGAGTAATTAATATTCAACACTAACAGCAAGGTGCGAAATGCTGAGTGCTGTGGAACACCTCTGGACACCACCTTCCATTTGCTGAAAAATGAGTTGACCATCACCCTTTTGCTTCCTGTCACTCGGCCAATTTTAGATCCAACTTGCCCTACGCTCCTGTATCCAATGGGCTTTAATTTTTCCGACCAGTCTACAACATGGCACCCTGTCAAATACCTAACTAAAATTTATGTAGACAGTGTCCACTGCACTACCTTCATCAATCCTTCTTGTTCCTGCCGATGACAATTCAAATTAGTAAGATGCAACCTTCATTTAACAAAACCATATTACACCTGATTAATCCATATCTTTCCAGGAAACAGTTAATCCTATCAATATTGATTCTACTAACTTACCCCTACTGAGGGTAGACTGACCAGCCTATAGTCATTTGACCTATCATTTGCAACCTTTCTGTAAGTGGTACAATGTTTGCAGACCTCAAATCCTCTGGTGCCTCACCTGTGTTGAGTGATTATTGGAAAATGATCCTCAGAGCATCCATATTTTCCTACCTGGCTTCCTTTAACAGCCTAGGATACAATTTAGAGATAGCAAGAACTGCAGATGCTGGAGTCAGAGTCAATACAGTGTGGAGCTGGAAGAACACAGCAGGTCAGGCATCACAGGAGCTGGAAAGTCAACGTTTTGGGTCGAGACCCTTGGTATTTATTGTAAGGAGAATGTAGTATAAAAGTAGAGAAGCTTTGCTGCAGCTGTACTGTGCCTTGGTGAGATTGCATCAGGAGTAACTGTGTAAAGATTTGGTCTCCTTACCTACGAAAGAATGTAATTTTAGTAGAAGCAGTTTTGAGTTGAGTGCTGGAATAAAGAGGTTACCTTATGAAGAAAGTTTGAGCAGGTTGGGCCTATATCTATTGGAGTTGAGAAGAATGAGAGCTGATCTTATTGAAACATCAAATCCTGCCAGAACTTGGTAAGGCAGATGCTGGGATGACTTTTTTCCCCTGTAAGGGAGTCTAGATGGGTAGGGGAGAGGGGGAGAAATTTAAGGCTCTCCCATTTAAGACTGAGATAAGGAGTTTGTTTCTCTCAGAGGGTCGTCAGATAGTAGAACTCTCTTAAATAAAATCCAAAAGCACTGCGGATGCTGTAAATCGGGAACAAAAACAAAGTTGCTGGAAAAGCTCAGCAGATCTGGTAACATCTGTGAAGGAGAAAACAGAGTTAATGTTTCGGGTCTGGTGACCCTTCCTCACAACTGATAGTGGCTGGGAAAACGTCAGTTTATATGCAGAAAATAGGGAGGTGCGTGGGGTAGGGAGTAAACGATAGGATAGACCCCAAAGAGGGAGAAAGACAGTTGGACAGACAAAGGAGTTGCTAACGATCAGGCTGGGAGGGTGAATAGCTGTTAATGGGGACTGTTAGTGACTAACAACAGGGGGTGTGTAATGGCAGGCTATGTGGTAACAAAGCCTGGTGTGTGGAGTGGGGGGCTGGGACATGGGAGAGTTTAGGCCCTA